TACTTCGGACACATAATGAGAGCAAATGAATCAACATATTATTTGAACACACAAAACGCGATATCCCGGCCGGGGATAATTGCGTCGATTTACATTTTTTTAAACAAAAACAGTTATAAACATATTATACAAGACAAAGTAATCAAAATAAAAAAGAGAAACAATAATATATATTAGGAACCTGAACCTTTCAGGTTAAAAAGATAATCATAAATATACACCTATCCCCCGATTTACACGGTACTTTTTTTACACGTTTTCGCTTTTACACGGTTTTCCAAATAAGTTTTTTTTTTTTGTTTTTGTTTTTATCGCACTATACTAAATGCTACTGTGATTGAACACATGCGCTGTGTACACATCTCACGAGGAATCCCGAGCTTATGTGCTGACTACATATTTTAACCTGTCATTGCATTTTATTTTTATTTCTGTGTACACCTATCCCCCGATTTACACGTTTTTCTCAGGAACGTATCTACCGTGTAAATCGGGGGATAGGTGTATTTACAAAAATAGTTAAATCTATGATAATTCTCTCTAGTATTTACAAATTGATATATATCTACAACATTATTTATTGTCTGTTGTCTAGCGGCGAAGAAGAGGGGGTATTTCAGCAGTAGGTGTCTCGAGTCCTGGAATTCGTTGCCACAGTGACAACTAGAGTCTTCAACCGATCACCATTGTTGGTGTTGGAGAAATTTGAAGGAAGACCAGCAATGTATCAAGAAAGCTACTGGAAAGATACCGAATGAGCTGTGAGAGATGCTCACTAAGAGATCAAATTGGAGAACATTCATCCGTAGAGTCACCAAAAGTCGAGTAGATAGATGCTAACAACAACAAACTTATAAATACGAGCAGCTATTTTCAAAGAGGAAGTTTTAAACCAAAAACACACGTACAAGAATAACTCTTTCACTTTTAGAGAACACACATCAAATATTCCTCAAAACATTGTCTTGTAAGTAAATATATAGTTTTCTCTCATTGAATACTTTTGTATTTAAATAAATTCATTTTCTGAAAGTCTGTTATAATACTTATAATATGCGCTACTTATAAATGTTATCATTTTTAAAAAGTCGAAGTATAATAAAAAAACAATAATTTACTGTATTCTATAGAAAATGTATTTAAGAAATTCAATCTGATACAATAGTAGAACAGTCTGTGGTCATCAGACTTACAAAACAGCTCTAGGAGAGTTCACCACTGATGAGTCTCCTTCCTCATTCAATTTTTATCCATTTGCGCTTATGAATATTATTTAATTTATATTTATGAAGGGAAAAATACGTCCAGGGTAGCCTAGTGGACATGGCATCTGCCCGGTAAGCGGAACATTGTGGGTTCGATTCCCATCCCTGGACACTTTTATTTTTCCGTTCATCATTACTCTTCATAATTCACCCTTTCATACCTCATCCAAAAAGGTTAGAAATAGTCAATATTTCACCTTGAAATAAATTTTGATTTTTCATTGAAAAGAAACTCATGCGGTGTAACTTCAAGTGTTGTTTTACAATCACAAGCCGCAGTGTATTATATTGTATTATTTAATTTAAACTATTTCACCAAACACTTCCCAAACTGCACAAAATGTCTGGCTTGTGTCCTGGAGCACAGTGCTGTGGCCTAAACAACAAGATATCTTCCACAGCAAGTCATCAATATACTAGGAGGTGAGTTGGTTTAAGAAAGCAATTGTTAATAAAAATAAGCATTTCTACATATTGACTAAGGAAGTTCCAAAAATGCAATATAACAGCGGTATGGTAGATTAAACTGGCGAAACCGCTGGGAGGGTTTACCACTGATGAGCCAGGCCCTCCCATTAATTTTTCCATTGCAGTAAGGGCAGTAGAAATTGTTTAATTTCAAAAAGAATCTTACGCGTTTAAAATAGTTTCGAATTTTGATTACTACATATGTGTTTGTAGCTAATTTTCTAATACACAATTCTTCCTTACAATATTAAATGTTTTTTCACCAATAATTCCTTGTAATAAAGCAACAAGTTCCCCGCAGTGATTTGATGGTAGAATCGGTGTCCGGCTTTGACTAAGTAGCTGGGTTAGAGTGACAAAATAATTGGGGACACGGCGATACTAGCAGGACAAAGTTGATAAACACAGTCGTCACGTGATGTTGGGCGGCTTTGATACCTAGGAGAGCTTTTCATAGCGAAGCTCTTCCTTACATAGGATGTCTAGATATGATTTCTCTTTGGTCTGGTTTCTTGTCTCCCAGAGCAGTTTTATAAGTTTGATGTCCACACACACAGACCGCTCTACTATTGTATCAGAATAAATTCCTTAAATACCCGGTATTTGTTATAAAATACAGTAATGAGTGTTTTTATTTTATTAGATCAATTTAAAAATTACTGTGCAACGAACGGGTTGACAGCTAGTCCTAAGCTCTCTCTCAAACAACGAAAATGATATTTGTTCAATAATATCTATTATAACGCGGGAATACATTCATCAAACATGATGCAGCCATAGATACAAATCCTCATTTTACGAGGAATAAAAAATGATGCTACCTGGGATTTGAAACAAGGTCTAGGTGTTTGTGTACAGTGCATTGGACCACAGATAAACAAACAAATTCTTTCTCTCACCTAAATATAATATACAAGCACTTTATTTACTGCACAAAAAAAGAATATCCTGACCAATCATATGAGTATTTTAGATGGCAGAGCGTTATCTACTGAAATAAAAATCAATTAAACATTGATTTAGCCTGTTCCATGATATTTGGCCAACCCAATTTCTTGATAAATCAAGAAAAGCAAAGCCAAAGAGGATACGAAATAAATGTAAATGAGACCAAAACCTCCTATAATAAACCACCAGTGTAAATATGGGTTTTAAAGCGTTAACACACACTATAAAACAAAGTTATTTTTAAACTCGATTATCATCACTTATTTCAAACAGGGGGCCGTGGGTTTGAAATCGCAAAAATGGGTCTTTTTGATCCTTGTCTAATTGAAATACCACTTTCAAATCGTAAAGATAGAGGCTGCCTGGCCGGCGTTCATATTTCTTGAAAATAAAAATACTTAGGCCAGTAAATATTTTATTACCTCTTTCAAATCGCTCATCTCAAGTACACATGGTACTGGACACAATTGGCACTTTCATTCAATCCACAACATGTAACACATTTAGATGGAGCTTGGGAAAGAGAGTTTAGATACAAGAGATTTCAACGTAAGAGCGTGATTAAACAAAAATATCGTTAAATCAGGGAGGGATTCTTCAACTATGCGTTATATCGGGGAACTATCAGTGGTAGCAAGTGGAAGAGTAAATAACAAATGAAAACATCGCGAATTTTTCTTTTCACAAATAAATAGATATTTTACTGTCCTTACTGCGATAAAAAAAATATATATATATTAGGAAGGCTTAGGTTATCAGCGGTGAAATCTCTCAACGGTTTCGTCAATTTTTAATCTACCAGACCGCTTCTTTAGAGCTCTAATACTGTATTGGATCATTCTGCTTTTATACGCAACATTGAAGGGTGGAATCTTAGAAATGGTATTTAAGAAAACTATGGACATGCGTTTTTAAGACAGTAGAATTACATATAAATATTTGCATCAAGCAATGCTCTTCCGCAAACAATAAGGACAAGGCCAGTTAGGTATAAATTAATACAAATCAATAAGGCGCCCTCTATATACAACAAATGAAAATATTTTCATTTGTTGTATATGTATGGCACATTATCGATTTGTATCAAGGTATATAGTAATGTGACAATACGCGTATAGTGGAAGGGAAATGAAAGAAACGACTCGATTAATTGAAAACAAAAAGGAACGAGACTACAGGGAGAATAAAAATGGCTCAAGCCTGATAACCAGCTATCTATAGAACGCAGAGCGCGAGTAGACAGCGAGAGTCCAGTTTCCGATACGCATTCTCTTCAAAGTCTTCCCGATATCTTTTCTGCTTCTATATGTTATACTGAAGAGTGGAATCTAAGGAATGGTATTTAAGTAAGATATGAGAAACACAGGCAACCATCAGTTTCAGCAAAAACATCAATATATATAGACGTTACACAACAGTCGACCTTTCTGCGGCATCCATTACCATCTCTTGTCGTGACACCACCAATCAGAATCTACTTAGTTTTTTATACTATATATATACTCGCTATCTCTTCTTTTTTCCCAATATAGTCAATTACCTGAGATGGTGGAGCCAAGAATCATCCAAGGAACAAAAGTTAGAATTCGATATTGAAGAGAGGAAGAGATCCTGACCAGAATATTGTGTGATTATGACTGAAGCTTAGTAAGATTTGAAACAACTCGACTCGACATTCTTAGACTAATTGGCCATTAGAAGTGGTCATATCTAGGTGAAATTTGTGAAACTGGTTCTAAAACCCTAGAATCCCAGGGCCACTTACACAGCGAATAAAACGTACACCACATTAAAGATTAATAATATCCTGAAATCAATAATATTTTGGTTTTAAATGTTTACTCCTGTTTATATATAGCCTCAAGTTTCTCTGTCGCTTGTGTAACGAGCTGATGTTCATGTTTTAGTTCATCATTAAACTTACAATTAAATAAACAAACAGGGAAACTATATCCAATTCAAAGAATCTCTTGAGATC